AAAATACTTATTTAGCGTTCTTCTGTAGAAACATGCCCCAAGCAAGTCTAGTTTGACTTTTAAATCTCTCAGCTGTAAATTTTTTTCTAGGATTGGTTTTAAGACATGTTCAAATGCAGTATTTCATGGCAAGTTGTCACCAGTGATCATAATTTTTCACTGGTTTTAGTTAAAAAGAAAATTCTGACATATCACAATATGGCTTTTCAAATGTCACTTGAGTACAGTGATTTATAAGACAAATTATATAAAATATTTGCTTTATAAAAACATATAATATTACAGTTTGCTTTGAAAAAGAATAAATTTATTTATTCAATTTTGATTGATCTGAATTTTATAAATGGTTGCCAAAATACCAAAATGATCATTTCAGAATTATGATAATCAGAAAAAAAATCTGCAAAATACCATAGGATATCCACAGATAATTCACTTATGGAAATAGTTTTCCTCAACACACTACTAATGAAAGTGACACAGTTTACATAGGATTCTAGATGTCAAATATGAGAATAATATGCAAGTTTTTAAATGAGTAGAAAAAGGTGAACAGATAAATACTTAATTTTCCAAAGTACTGTATCTAGTAATAATAAAATCGCACTAGTTTCTTCTACTCTACTTCTCAATTACTTTAAAATAACTCTCCCATGATTTGTAATGTTTTTAATTTATCAAATGGAAAAACATGATAAACCAAAATTTAAAAAATTGTTAAAACACAAGGAAAAACAACAAAATTACATGATTCATAATTAATACAAATGGAAAAGAAAACAGTTCTTTGATATACAGTAATATAAGAAAAATTATTTCTAAAGAAAATTAAAAGCAGGAAAAAAAATGATTTAAAATTTTAAAAACCCCATGGTTAAAGAATTAAATACTGAAAAAAAGGCATAGACCAGGGCTCTTAACTGGTGGCCCGTGGGCCATCTCCGGCCCGTGAGTGCGTGTGATGCGGCCCACGAGAACAAGACAGAAATAATATTTTCTGTTAGGCTTGGGTCTAGATTTCCAACCTTACTTTGCATTCTGTTTTGCCAACTAGTCCTATATATAACAGAAAGAAAAGAAATCATAACATGCCAACTTTGGGCCAAGGGTAACTTTCTTAGGTTAAAATGCCCTGTATGAACATCTAGCGGTTGATTATTTTCAAAAAATTTCCCTCCCACCGCCTTGCGCACGCGGCACTCAGATGGCGCTACGCACCAGAGTACACCGCTTGCTTTGGCACTTCAAATTTATTCAATGAACATTGTTGGTCCCTGTTGCGATGTAGTTGAGGACCCCTGGCATAAACCTTATCTGAAGGGGAAAAAAAGGGGGAAAAAAATACAATAAATCCAAGAAATTGTAGATTAGGCAAAACTTTGATACTTTGTTTAGCAAATTTTATGTTTGATAGACCTTCAGAGAATGCGGAGAAAAACAATAATTTAAAAAATCTCATTTTCTTAAATAGCAAAATGGTTCTAGCAAATGAATCTACACAGAGGAAAAAGTACAAATAGAATGAATACAAGTAAAATAAATGTTTTTGACGAAAAGTAATTGATAGCATCCATGACATTGTTGTAAGTCCTGCAATTTATTGAATGTGATGTGGTGATGTGACACTAATTTGACTGAAGTGCCTACATTTATTCAATTCTGAGGAAATACCCATTTCAGCCACAAGATTTCATGACAGCAGTGGATGCAATAAAAATGAGTTCATTTTTTTAAAAATTAGTAATTTTTCATGGCAGCAGATGCGCTAACAGGCAAAAAATAAAAATTGATTTTTAATTTGAATAATTGGTGGCTGGCACGTTCGCAAAGCAAGGTTTGAAAATAGTTTCACCCTCAAACATTTAATTAAATTTTTTAAAGCACTCATTTAAGTAGATAAAAAAAACATCTGAAGGGACACAAATTCAAACAGTCTTTCTTGAACAGATATGAGTAAAAAAAAATAAGTGTCTATCGACTGACAGTGGCAGGAAATATATTTTCCTGTTCTAATTCAAAATTACAAGGGGAAAAAAAATTGAATAGTGGAAGAAATTAAAACTTAACAAGCAAAGGTACTACAGTGAATCAACAGATATATATTAAATTATGTTTCCATTGGTTGTATTAAAGCACTGTACAGATATATTCCAACATATACTGTACAGAAAACAAAAATAATTTTACTTAAACACAAAATGATTATAATACTACATAATTGTTGGTTCCAAGAAGATTAGCCTTTCCCTATTGCGCAAACTTGAGGTATGTACAGTATACTATGATTATGACCAGTATAATACAGTACTATGATTATGACCAGTCATCAAGTACTCCAACTTTGTCTCCGATCACGAAAGATTTTAGCAGGTGGTGGTGCGTGAGAGTCGCAACCACCTCAGCATGCAGGATTTGGCAGTGTGAGGTGTGTGTGAGAGTCGCAACCACCTTAGCCCCACCATGGTTGGGGTTAAGGTGAGAAAATTTTGAGAATATGGAAATGTAGGTGCCTGGAAACTGCAGTGTCTTACTGGTACTAAGTCCATAATGATAAAAGATAGCCTACCGTATATCAACAATACAATACAATTATTTTTCTTTATACAATTTAGGAGGTGTGATTGCACTGTCAGCACTCCCCTCTGCATCTGCCTCAGCCCATCCCTTTTCAATATCCCCAGACACACCTCTATCTCTCAATGCAATATAATTAATTATGGGGGTCAGTAATAACGCTTTTTTACATTGATTAAGAAAATCGCAAGAACACTAACCAATCCTCACATACTTTAATTTTCAATCAGACAATACCAAAACGAGTGGAATACAATCATGTACTTAAAACCATACTTCTATATCACTAACACATCTATGTTTAACATTTATACCTGTAATGTACCTCATTATCATTTACGGTATTCATTGTGTTATTATGAATTCATTGTACAATATATGGTATACATTTTAATATCTAATATTTTTTCCTGTAATAACAGTACTTTATCGAACCAACAGCATAATGCAATTTGCAAACAACTCATAACAATCACAAGAAATTTTGAAATTATTATTTACAAAAATAGACTGAATAAATTGTATTACAAAAAAAAAAATCAAAATCTTGAATACATTTTTGTATTAAAAAAATAATATAA